GGAAGGAAGGAAGGAAGGAAGGAAGGAAGAAAGGAAGGAAGGAAGGAAGGAAGGACAGTCACAAACATACTCTTAAGGAGGTCAACCTGTTGTGGAATATTCCTTTACACTGTGCAAAGGTATGTCACTATGACTGGTTCAATAAAAGGCTAAATGGCCAATGGGCAGGATTTTCAGGGCAGAGAATTCTGTGAAGAAGGCAGAGTTGACAGCCAGACACAGAGGAAGCAGCATGGGCTATATACAGAGAAAAGGTAATAAAGCCACGGGGCAGCACATAAATTAACAGAAATGGGTAAAGTTGTTCGATAGTTAGAAACAAGCCTAAGCTAATGGCTGAGCATTTATAATTAATAATAAGCCTCTGTGTCCTTACTGGGGAGCTGGCAGTCTGATAAAGAAGTCCAACTACATCGACCCCAAGTTCCTGAGGAACATGTGCTTTGCCAAGAGGCACAAAAAGGCAGAAAAAGACACAAGCAAACAATGTAAAGGCAACAAGTGCACATGCAGAGGCCATTAATGCCCTTGTGAAGCCTAAGACAGTTAAGCCCAAAATGCCGAAGGGCCTCAGCTGTCTTACTTCATCGCTTGCCCCAAGCTTGGGAAGCAGATTCGAAACTACTTGGCCAAGTGTTGCAGACTCTGCCAAGCAAAGTCCAAGGTTCAAACCAAGGCAGAGGCCACAGCTCTAGCTTAGGTCCAGGCTCCAGCTCTAGCTCAGACTCGCAAATGTGCCCAGGTCCCTGTAAAGGCCCCATAGTTTGAAAAAGGCTGCTATCTGCCAATGTGAAGACAAGATGGACTGGTATGACACACCCACACAATATTTACAGATGGCCAGCACCCTATGTTTTTACAAATAAACTTGAAGCAAGGTCTGTTAAGAAAAAAAAAATTAAAAAATAAAAGTGACTATGGGCTAGGGTATAGCTCAGTGGTAGAGGAATTGCCTAGCATGCCCAAAGCCCTGGGTTTGACCCCCTAATACTGAAAAAAAAACAAGAAAAGGAGGACAGGAGAGGAAAAGGAACTACTACTCAGCATGACAGGAAAAGAATTCAGGCCGAAGTATGAAAAGGTATTTGGGAAATAGCAAGCAAGAGAATATGAGTAGAGCCCAAGTCGGAGATAAGATGACAGGGAGAAAAATCCAGGCTAGAGAGGTGTTCAGAAGCCAGGTCACGAAGAACCTCCTGAGCTGTACCGTTTGTTTTCACCTGTGTAGGCAAGGGAACACTGCTGGAAGATTTTAAAAACAGCAGTGAAATAATCAGGCCTGAGTTTTAAAAACTCAGCAACAAGTAAGAGATGAAATGGGAAGGCACGGGACTGAAGCAGATGGACGGGTGAGATGAACACTGAGCCTCGAAGTATTAGTGGACTCTGGGGGTTAGGGGGACAGCAGTGACAGCTAGGCTGCATGGAGAAGAGGACAGGCCAATCAGACGGCTCTGGTCCAGCTGACTAGGTATCTAGAGCATTCCAGTTTCTGCATTCTGAGAAGCTTTGAAACTAAACTGTGGTACAGACTTGAGGAAAGCAAATCTGTGATGGAATGCTGACTGAACCATTTCAAAACCGTGACACTAAGTGAGGTGTTTGATGTCACTGTGATTCGGTTATTTCATCTTTAAAATACAGGCAATAATAGGTAATAATAATGGGCCTGAAATGCTATCTTAAACTGAGTCAGTTTTTCATTTTGTGAAATGATGGCATTTGATTTGTTGTATAATATGTTTGTGACCATTAGAGACAAGATGTAAAATACCTTGGTATCACTGCAGGTATTTATCAAATAGGTAAATAATGATGGAAAAATACATTGAAATGGAAAGAGAATAAAAAGAGAAAGGCTTCAATAAATGTGATTTAAAAACAAACAAAAAAGCCGGGTGGCGGCGCACGCCTATAATCCCAGCACTCAGGAGGCAGAGCCAGGTGGATCTCTGTGAATTCAAGGCCAGCCTGGTCTACAGAGCGAGATCCAGTACAGGCACCAAAACTACACAGAGAAACCCTGTCTCAAACCCTGCCCCCCCAAAAAAACCAACCACATTGGATTTGAAACCTAATTTGAATTTATATAAGCTATATCATTTTAAAGCAATATATTTCACTCTCTTTAGACTTAGTTATTAAGTGTTATAGACCATGATAAGGATTGTAGAATTTATTTTGAGTAAGATGATATAATAGCCTTCATTATCAACTTGACTGGATTTAGAACTACCTAGAAGACACACCTCTGGATAGGTCTAGGAGGGTGTTCCCAGACAAGTTTAACTGACCAGGAAAGATCAACCTTGAATGTGGGTGGCACCATCACATGGGCTAGGGTTCCAGGTTGAATAAAAAGAAGCAAGGTAAAGAGAGCCAAGCGCAGGCTTTCACCTCTCCACTCTCTGACTGTGGATACAGTACTCCTGTTCTGGGCCCACCTTCTCCACCACAATGAACCAAACACTCTCAAACTGTAAGCCAATCTTTGATAATAATGCTAAGACCGTAGTTAATATAGATAGCTCACCATTTGAGAATTTTGGGCAGAGGAATGATGTAATTGAATATATTTTGTAAGAATCACTGCAATTTCAGTATGAAGGAGAAAAAAGTAAACATGGGGAGGAGATGGGAACCAATTCCCCAGGGTTTAGCAAAACTGGAAGCATGAGGCTGAAAACTGGGGTAAGAAATGGTGTGCCTCTGTGTATGTAAAGTGGAGCCAACAGACTCTGATGATAACGGTGGAACAAGGGAAATAACAGAATCAAGGGTAACTCCAAGGTATGAGCAATGAAATGGATGGAACACCCTTTTGCTGAAAGTGGTGAAGGAGCAATGTGGCAGGGAATTAAAACCTGAGATGCTTTGCAGACTCATAGTGGACATGAAAGCTACATCCATGTCAGCTATGAATCCACTGTTAGCTGTATTTATCATTAATATCCTTACCTTAAGAGAGAAAAGGCTTGCTTAGAAACAGCATCTTTCCAGAGGCCCAGCACCTACAAGACAACAGTCAAGTGAGGACCTTAACCTTTCAGAATGCCAAGCACCTCTTCTCACGAGGAAAACCCACAGTATACAAACCAAAATGTACCAAAGGGTTCTTACCTAGCAAACACCTATCATGCAAGCAAAACAAGGTCCTTTTTTCTTACTCTGCCCACTTCAGAAAATGCTTAAAAAAACCAAAACCCCTCTCCCACAATTTTTCATCCTGTTTCCCTTTTCCAACTTGATACATTTTTCTAACGTCAACCATAACATAGTATACATCTGCCATTCACTGCATAGTAAGAGGGCTTTCGTAAATATTCTCTAATTCACAAATACTGCAAGATAATTTTGGAGGACTAAAGCCCATAGAGGTTTTATTTTTTAAAAGTTACAGCTAATAAGAGACTAAGAAGACTGCCTCACACCAAAGACTATGCCGTTCTTACAGCACACTGACTCTATAGCAAGAGTAATAATCATACTAGCACATGTGAGAAAACAATACTAAAGAGAGGAGGCAACCGATACATTAATCTCACTCTGCCCTGTTTGCACCCATCTGAAAGATCAGTGTACTGTCCTACTAAGGAAGAAGATGGCATATAGAAGTTTTTTTATAAACTAGATCATAAATTCTAAATGTCTGAATTTCTGCTCATCATGAGCAACAATTCAATTCTTTTGACATATATATGTAAAAATATTATGCAAAAACATCAAAAAATCTTAGAAACTGTCTCAGTCAAGCCTAAGGAAATATGATGATGAAATGGAATATAATTATCAGGATGGATCTTGGAACAGAAAAAGAAAGAAATTAGATAAAAACAAAAGAAACCTGAATAAAGTATGGGCTTTTGTTAATAATAGGATATCGATACTGGTTTGTTAACCATGGAAATTACAGTATGAATATAATTGTTCCATGTACTTATTTATTTTACGGTTAGAGAGTACATGAGGAGATCTTGGACAACGTGAGGAAACTGGTTCTCTATTTCCACCAGGGTTCCAGGAACCAAGCTCGGATTGACTTACCTGCTGAGCCAGCTCACTGGCCCTAAAATGTTAATAGAGAGAGTGGGGTTTAGGTGAACTCTTCCAGCCATTAACAGTTGTTTTTTTTTGTTTGTTTGTTTGTTTGTTTTTTTTGTAAATCTAAAGCTAGTCTAAAACAGTAATTTATTTATTTATTTATTTAATTGGTATTGCTATGGTGCCAGGCCTTTGTGCACTTTTCCTAGCAACAAAGTTTCTTTAAAAAGTGCCTAATACTGTGTTGCATATTAAAAGAAATATAAAAACAAAATGTAACAAACACAATGAACTTTTAAAGGCATTATATTAAGTGGAAACAAGCAAGCCAGTCACAAAAGGCCAAATACTGTATGACAGATTCCTTTCTGTGAAATATCCAGAGTGGGCAAGTCTACAGGGAAAGGAAGTAGATTAACTGGTGCTGGAGTGGGGATGGGGTGGGGATGCCAGCTAAGGGGCATAGGTTTGTTCTAGAGTTGATGGAATGATATGCTTGTATTAAACAGCTAAAAGAAACCACAGGTATTATATGATGAAGAAAAATGTATGTCATTAACAGCAAGCATGCCTGGCAGGATTTCCTGGGGAAGAGGGTTGGAAGTTCGGAGCTTTAGCAGCTAACAGACTTTCCTAAAGATCTGTTCAAAATCAAGAACCATCTTCTGAGACAAGCGCTTAAGAAGCACTGATGAGGGGCTGGAGACATGGCTCAGTGGTTAAGAGCTCCGACTGCTCTTCCAGAGGTCCTGAGTTCAATTCCCAGCAACCACATGGTGGCTCACAGCCATCTATAATGAGATCTGGTGCCCTCTTCTGGCCTGCAGGGACACATGCAGAATACTGTACACATAATAAATACATCTTAAAAAAATAAATAAAAATAAAGATCTAAAAAAAAAGAAGCACTGATGAACAAAATGTTTACAGCCTACTTCAGTTTACATACAGTACTAACTACTACCTCACTGAGACGCTCAATATCATCCAATGAGCTCTATGTTGAGCCATCCTCAGCGGGGGAGGTTCCTCTCAGGTACAATGTACACAGTCAAGTTTTGTTTGGGGGCAAACTCAGAAAGAAATGAATAAATGGAATTCCTTCCAGCCATATATTAACCATCCATATGTATTTTGTTGAATGCCTATCCTGTGTCTAAATCACAACAAGGTAAGTATTACTAACCCTATTGTATAGTGCAGGAAACTGATACTAAATCTACCTCAAAGTCACATAGTAACTCCCCAAGCTAGCATAGGAGTTGGAGTTTTTCTGGCTCTAAAGTCTATCATTTCTCCACCATGCTACACCTCCTCTCGCAGATGAAGAGATGGTACTTAGTGGTACATCATCAGAGGGACAGCTGATGAAATGGTCCAGTGGGTAAACATGCTTGCCAGGCAAACCTGATGACCTGACTTTGACTCCTGAAACTCCTAGTGTGATGTGTATGAAACACCTACACATCACATGCATACACATTAATAATAAATAGTTTAAAAATGGCGGGGGTAGTCAACTTTAGGAAAAGCCTCTCAAAGAACGTGAGGCCGTAAAAATTATGAAGGATGTAAAGAGAAAGAACAAAGGGCAAAGTCCAAAAGGATCTTTAAAAGTATAATTGCATCTCATTCTATTACAAAAGACTATGTAGGGGATGGAGAGATAGCTCAGTGGCTAAGAGCACTAGTTGCTCTTGCAGAGGACTCAGGTTTGATTCCCAGCACCCACATACTCCAGTTCTAGGAGATCTCATACCCTCTTCTGACCTTCATAGTAGCCAGGCACACATGTGGTGAACATACACACATGCAGGCAAAACACTCACACATAAAATTAAAAATAAATAAATTTAAGTACGGTAGTTTGAATGTAATTGGTCCCCATAATCTCATAGGGAGTGGCATTATTAGGAGGTGTGGCTTTGTTGCAGTGGGTATGGTCTTTTTGGACGAAGTGTGTCACTGTGGAGGTGGGCTTTGAGGTCTCCTATGCTCAGGATACCACCTAGTGTCTCAGTTGACTTCCTGTTGCCTGCAAGATGTAGGACTCTCAGCTCCTGCACCTGCCTGCATGCCACCATGCTCCCCACCATGATGATAATGGACTGAACCTCTGAAACTGTAAGCCAGCCACTCTCAATTAAATGTTCTTTTATAAGAGTTGCTGTGGTCTTCACAGCAATAGAAACCCTAACTAAGACACTAAGTTTAAAACTTTTTAAAAACTGTATAAAGTGTGTGTATAATGTGCTTACCCTAATATGGGCCAGAGTAGGAAACTAAGAGCTTTTGGAGAGCTCAAGTTGGCTCCCCTATCACTGACCACAAAGTTACAGCACATAATGCAAAGTTCCCTGCTGGCCCAAGATCCATTCGCATGACAAATAGAATAGAAATCAGAGTGAACAGAACACACTTTTAAATGGGTCACTTCAAATAGAGGAGGCATTGGGTGGAAAGAAAGATCTGGATGAGACTGCTTTCTCTTTTGATTGTTCAGAGTCTCTACAATAGCTAAGGATTTAATTATCTAAAAGTCAGACTTAAATAGTTGACAACTTTCTGGAAGACATTCAAATTGTGTGAACTCCTCAGCTCTGGGAAATGCGCTTTCTTTTTCCTGCAGTGCCTGGCATTATTTATCAGGACAAAAGTAGTCTATTTTGAGACTGATTCCACAAATACCCCCACCCCCTCCACTCCCTACCCAGCACAATCAGCAGATGAACAGCTCTGGCTCTGTAAACAGAAGAGGAGGACAGTGACACCAGCGAATGAATGAATGGGGACACAGCTGCTGCAGTGGGTTACAAAAATACTTGTCCCATGAGCTCTGGAGCCAGCAACCAAGAAAGAAGTGCAGAGTTACCAAAGAAACCGTCACAGGGAAAAATCCATTAGTGTATAATACCTTGAAACGACAGAGTCTGGGTTGGGTTGTGAACACAGTTGTTCAGGGACCTAGGTGAGCAAATGAGACCTGTTTTATGTTCATTTGTTTTAGTTTTTTGAGACAAGTCTCTCTATATAGCCCTAGCTGTCCTAGAACTCACTATGTAGACCAGGGTGGCCTCAAACTCACAGAGATCTGCCTGCCTCTGCCTTTGAGGGCTGGGACTAAAGGCATGGGCTACCACGCCCACCTAAGAGCTGTTATGAAAATTTAAGAATGTTTGTATATTATTACTAAAGGGCCAATGACTGAGTGCCTCTTCTGTGCCAAGCATTCCACATGTTCTAATCTTTACTTCAGCTCTCTGATAGAGACCCTACTAAGATACCTGCTTGGCTGGGGAGATGACTCATCAAGTGAAGATAATTGCTGCCGAGCCTGAAGGCCTAGGACCTACGTGGCAGGAGAGAATTGATTTCTTTAAGTTGTCCTCTGACCTCCACATGTGTGCCATGGCATGCATGTGCCCACACATAGACACACACTAAATAAATAAATTTTAAAAATATAACTTCCTCTATTTTATGGGAAAGAAACCACAGGTTTACATCAACTGATTAAAATTTTAGGTTCAGCAATAGGTGCAAACCCAGGTCTGATTATGTCCAATGTCCACGTTTTCCATTCTGCCATACTACCTGTCAAAATTTAAAACAACTTATACTAGTGAAGTTTACATGTTAATACTAGTTTCAACAAGCTTGCCATTCATTAAGAATAGCCGTTATCTTAGTTAGGGTTTTCTATTGCTGTGAAGATACACCATGACCATGGCAACTCTTATAAAAGAAAACATTTAATTGAGGGTGGCTTGCCTACAATTTCAGAGGTTTAGTCCATTATCATCATGAAGGGGAGCATGGCAGCATGCAAGCAGATGTGGTGCCGGGGCTAAGAGTGCTACATCTTGCAGGCAACAGGAAGTTAACTGACTTTCACACTGAGGGAAGCTTGAGAAAAAGAGATCTCAAAGCCTGCCCCTACAGTGACACATTTCCTCCAACAAGGCCACATTATTAATAGTGCCACTTCCTTTGGGGGCCATTTTTTTCAAACCACCACAGCCATATACCTAACATCCTCTCCTTTAATCCTCATAAGCGTTCTGTGAGATGGATATCCTTACCCTCATTCATAGAGAAGAAAAACATATGTTATATACTATATAAGTGAACACATATGGGTTGCAACCCCTTGGGGGTTTGAATGACCCTTTCACAAGGGTCACATATCAGGTGTCCTGCATATCAGAGATTTACATTACAATTCATAACAGTAGCAAAATTACAGTGATAAAGTAGCATTGAAAATAATTTAATGGTTGGGGTCACCACAACATGAGGAATTGTATGTATTAAAGGATTGCAGGATTAGGAAGGTTGAGAACCACTGATCTAGCATATCCTATCATTGCAAAGCAAGTTCTGCTATTACATGATGGCTCTTTCTTGGACTAAACAATACCCTGACATGCATTCCAGTTCTTACACAGGGTATGTAGCTTTTTAGATTTATTATTTTTTATTTCTATTGATGTTGAGTGTGTACCACATGTATGTAGTTCCCACAGAGGCCAGGAGAGAGCTTGGGGTCCCCTGCAGCTGAAGTTACATGCTGGAGTGAACCTGTAACTGGAAGAGCTGCGAGTGCTCCTACCACTGAACCACCTCTCCAGGAAGATTCCTTTTGCCCTGGGTGGTTCTTGCTTGGATTCATCCATTAGAAATTTCAAGTTAACCTGAGTGAAAGGACAAATACCTAGAGACTGAGCTACTTGGGAGACTGAGGCAGGAGGATCACTTGAACCTGGAAGTTCAAGGTCAGCCTGGGCAAAAAGTAAGATACTATCTCAATAAAATAAAACAAAGTAGCCTAATTCAAAAGAGGAGGAAGAGAAAAGGAGGCAATAAAAAAGAAACCCAGAAGCTTCACCTTCTTCTCGCTGTCCTTAGCCAGTACCTACAAGGCTGACAGCACCCCTGTGCCCCATCCATAACAATGCATCTGCTACTTAAACACCATCCTGGTTCAGAACTCAAACATTTGCAGACACCTCTTACTATCAGAAGGGGCTCACATCTAGAAAATCCAAACCAATCTCCCTGTGTCTTCCATGGTTTGAACCTAGTTCCCCACTCTCGTATAATAGAATAAACACAGTTCTGCACACTAGCACCTCAATATTTGAATACAATGATCAATGCTTTCAAGTTTAAGTTCTTTCAAATATTGCTGCTTCTAATGTTTCCTGTGGCTGTCTTCTTCCAACATAACTGTATTGACCATCAAAATCTATTTTCCTATAGGTCACTAGGAGCACAGATTTTCTAGCCACTGACATTTGAATGTCCACATCTATTCTGTCTGCTGGGATTGCTTAATAATATGTGAAGAACAAATAAAACTACACAATGACTACAAAATACCAATATCTCTATTAGCACCATCTTTCATCCCTTACAAAGTACTCAGTCTGCTTACAGTATCCTCTATCATACTTATTGGGTTTATTTTTCTTTTTATTTATTTTTCATTTTTTGAGACAGGGTCTCAAGTAGCTTAGGCTGGCTTCAAACTCAATCTGTAACAAAGGCTGTCCTTGAACTCCTGATCCTCCTGCCTCTACTTCCCAAGTTCTAGGATTAAAGGCACTACCCCAATGCCTGACTTTGTCAGACGATGGTCTTAATGTCAGGTTTCAAAGGGCTCTTCTGGAGTACGGATAGTTGGGAAACACATTCTTAGAACACTGATCCTCCCTTCCAGGATTCCTTGGAAGGAAGACAAACAGAACCAGAGAATAGACTGGAATGTTGAAATTGACTTATTTCTATTATCCTTGCACCAGACCTGTTCTCACAAGTTAGCTAGAAAACCAGTGAGTCCTTCCATAAAGGATGAAGAAAGAAACTCAAGTTTAGAGACATTCAAGTTTAGTACCATATCCATAAATGGCAATGACGGATTTATACTTTACATTTAATGTCTACAATTAATGCCTAAAATAAAATCTCAATATGATGAGAGAGAAAGAGAATATCAAAAATCTAAGCAGCATGATACAAACGAAAAGCCCAACTGAGATCTGTTAAATTTGTTATGGTAAGAGAGAAATAGGGACCGGATTTAAGAATAGTGATTTGGCTGGGTCAGTGGAGCATGGCTGAGATCCAAGCACTGGGGAAGCTCAGGCAGAAGGACTGTAAGTTCAAGTGTGGGCTACATGTTAAGATCCCTGTCTCATAAAGAGAATGAAGGCTGGGAGGGGAGGGACTGGGAGGAGAGGAAAGAGGGGGAAACAAACAAACAAAAAAAATGAAGGCTCCGCTAGTTCTTCCATAGCTTCTTAAATAAGATTTTGGAAGCCAAAGAGTAACAACAAAATAGTTGGTTCTTTGACAGACTCTTAAATACGATTTTTTTTTAAATGTAGTTCATCATTATCATATTCCTCTTATCACCGAATAACTTCATTCATATCCCATCCACTTCAGCATGGTAAAATTCTTTAAAGTTAATTAAATGTAAAAATAAAATGACCTGCCCAAGGTCAGACAATTTATGGGGGCTATATCCCGGCGTCCTAATTCCATAAGTGGGCTCTTCCTGGCCAAAGAGCAGCCAGGTGACGAGGGAGGGGGCGTGGCGGGAGACTGCAAAGTTCACCCTTGGCGGAGGGAGGAACTGATAGTGAAGCACCGCACGGACTGCTGGGACGGGCCTGTTCGCAGAGTTCTAGGCCCGGATATCTGCTCGCCGCCACTTTCCAGCTCTGCTTTTCTTCCGCCTCCCCAGCGCCCAGCGTGAGTGGAATCTGCGTTACCTTTCCCAGGGTTCCGCTCATTCTTGCTTACTGCAGCTTCTAAGCAAACCGAAGATCCGCCCCAGAAGTCACGACCCCTGGGCTTCTGAAACACTGCCGGGAAAGTCTTAATCTGGTCCGTCTACAAAATCCGACCGAGATTCTCTCTACGCCCGCAGCACCTTGGTTCCGGCAGTTTTTAAAACCCAAGGAATAGAAATCTCCCTAAATTCCACTGTCATTCCAGGGTGTGTCACGCTTCCTGTGATTTCTCTGGGCAGTATTAGTTGCCATTCTTTGTTACTCGAGTGCTTTTCACATAATTTTGGTATTTCACCTATGAAACTATATATTATTTACTGTCTCTTCCCCATATTTGATTGAAATCCTTTAGGACTCGTATCTGATTAATTCATTCCAGCGTCTAATATAGAACATAGAAATCTTGACTTGCAACCTCGACTCAGGGACCTGATTAACCCCGTGTGAACCTTCCTAACATTCCATTCCCTCATAATAATTGAGAATAATTATCTTTTATTGAGTGCCCACTGTGTGTAATACTTTGTGCTCACCTTATTCTTCACAAGCCTCCTAGAGAGATGTTGCTCGGTGTTACAGATAAAGATTTGAGAAATCAAGAGATTAAGAGACTTGTCTGGGATCTGTGAACTGAGAGCTGAATTTCAAGCCGTCTTGTTTATGTGAAATGTTTTCACTCTGACACACCCCTTCTTACATGAGATAATGTCAACGTACCAATTCATTTATTTACATAATAAAAACAGACCTGTATTGTTTTTGGGACAGGGTCTCCAGTGTAGACCAAATTGGACTTGAATTTGTGTTTGCTTCCAGGGTGCTTTGATTAGAAATGGCATCACACCCAGCTACAAACTATTTTCCTAGAAATACTTTTTGCTCCTTGGATAGAATCCTGGGAACACAAAAATGAATATCCCATGGTTCCTGTCCTTAAATGGCACGTATAAACTATTATAGAGCAATAAGAAATTCAAGATACCAAGCTAGTCATATAAACTCTGTGTACAGAAGGAGTATGTGAGTACATAATAAAGTCAGCATTGAGTGAAATAACAAATATGTAATGATCTCTTTTTATTATTTTTTTCTATTGTTGCTTTGTTTTGTTGTTTGGTTTCTTCTATGTAACAGCCCTGGCTATCCTGGAACTGACTCTGTAGAGCAGGCTGGCTACTGTTGCTGTTCTCAAGAAAGAAAAGGTGCAAAAACTGGTGACTAGAGGCTGGAAAGACTGCTCAGCTGTTAAGAACTCCTGCTGCTCTTGCAAAGGACCTGAGCTGGGTTGCAGCCCCTGTATCAGACGTCTCACAACCTCCTTTAACTTCACCTCTGCACGCTGAACACGCTCTCTAGCCTCCTCGGGTACCTACACTCACATGTGCATACTTACAAACCACAGACACACATGCAGCATAAATAAAAATAAAATCCTGGCCTTTAATGCAAGCAGTATGGAGGCAGAGGCAAGCAGATCTCTGTGAGTTTGAGGCCAGCCTGGTCTATATGCAAGTTCCAGAACAGCTACAGCTATACAGAGAAACCTGTCTCAAAAACAAAATCCTTTTTAAAAATGGTAAACATAAAAAGACAAAAAGCATGGTAAATGAATTAGGCTTCAGTGACAGTGTGGCTTGTTGTCAGCATTCCTTCCAAGATCCTAGTGCTTCATCTACGCTTCCTAGAATGAAATTCCAAAGAGCCACCAACAGCTGTGTAGATAAATCTATTTCTCCCATCTGGTGCAGAAGACAAGGAGACTATTGTGGTCAATTTTATGTGCCAACTTTCCTGAGCAATGTGGCAACCAGATACTTAGTGAAACATTCCGCGTGTTTCTGTTATGATGTTTTGGAATGCAATTAACTTTTTTTTTTTTTTTTTTGGTTTTTCGAGACAGGGTTTCTCTGCGTAGCTTTGCGCCTTTCCTAGAGCTCACTTGGTAGCCCAGGCTGGCCTTGAACTCACAGTGATCCGCCTGGCTCTGCCTCCCGAGTGCTGGGATTAAAGGCGTGCGCCACCACCGCCCGGCGCAATTAACTTTTAAATGAATAGAATAAGTAAAGCAAATTGCCCTCCCTAATGTGAGTGGGCCTTATCCAATCAGTTGAAAGCCTAAATAGAACCAAAATGTTGACCTTCCTCCAAATAAGAGAATGTTTACTAGTTGATGTCCTTTGACATGGGATATCATTTGTGTCCTGCCATCCAACTCAGGCTGAAATATAAGACCTTTATATTGCTTGCCAGCCTTTGGGGTGTAACTACATTTATCAATTCTCATGGCTCTCAGGCCTTCAGACCCTAATGGGTCTCCGGCTTGCCAATTCACTCTGCAGATCTTAAGACTTCTCAATTTCCATAATAATAAAATTTCAATAGGTACTTGATAGATATGTATACAGATACATACGTACACATTTGTGTGTGTGTACATACACATCCTTTTAGATTTGTTTCTCTAGAGAACCCCAACTAACACAAGATGATTATTTTTTTTAAAGATGTATTTATTATGTATAGTGTTCTGCCTGCATGTACACCTGCAGGCCAGAAGGGGGCACCAGATCTCATTACAGGTGGTTGTGAGCCACCATGTGGTTGCTGGGAATTGAACTCAGGACCTTTGCAAGAGCAGTTAGTGCTCTTAACCGCTGAGCCATCTCCCCAGCCCCACACAATATTATTTAAAGAGACAGGTTCATGGCTAAATGATGCACTGGGAATTATACATTGCACATAGTAGTCACTCAATAGAAGGTATCTATTCTCAGTTATTATTAGGCAATTGATTGTCAGAGTAATTCACATAGAGTCAATCAGCTCTGAAAATTGAGGTTAGATGTTAGATTTATGAATCCTTTGCTAGATGCTGAAATAAAGCAGTCAGGATCTAAGTCCTTAAGATCTTTTATACAGCCTGGTCTACAGAGTGAGATCCAGGATAGGCACCAAAACCACACAGAGAAACCCTGTCTGGGGGTGGGGGGAGACCTTTTATAGACTGTGAGCTCCTAAGAACAGGTTGTATCTTAATCTTTGCATCCTCAGCATTTAGTCCAGGATGGGTTTATGGCAATATGTGTCTGGTGAACCACTTAGAGATGGGTGTTTGTTGGTGTTGTCATTTTGTTCTGTTTGAGACAGGGTATCATGCATTCCAGTCTTGCCCTGAACTTGCTCTGTAGTGAGGATGACCTTTCATTTCCTCTTTTCTCTTCATTCTCCTGCATATAATCCATTGCTATAACATATTTCTTTTTTGCACCTCCATAGGTGGCACAATAGAGATATAGGAATGGGTGCGTGTACCCAGAATACAGACTCGGGCATAATCCTGCCTCTGTCATTTATCCAGTGTGTGTGTGTGTGTGTGTGTGTGTGTGTGTGTGTGTGTGTGTGTGTGTTTAAAGAGTGGTGGAATTTTAGGAGACTTCCACGTTTGGCTAAAATATAAACAGAGAAAACTGGTGAGAAAAGAGATTTGAGAGACCTGACAGAGTCAAACTGTGAAGTACAGATCAAAGGGCTGGAGAGGCTTTGATTAATTAGGAGCAGTGAAGAGTAAAATAGTGGAGGAGAAAGTGGAGACAGAGTCTGGCAGGAAGAGTAAGGTGCTGATTTAAGCGAGATACAGAGGTATCAATACAAGAATTGCTACAGGTAAAATAGGAGGACTTTGGTGTTAGGTTAGGTATGAGCAATGAAGGACATTCTGAGTTATACTCTGAGGTAAGTATTAAGTATCATCTTCAAGTAGGTAGTAGATAAGCCAGTTTGAGTCAGTGGGATGACTCAGTAGGTAAAGGTGCTTGCTGCCAAGTCTGACAACCTGAGTTCCATCCCTGGGTCCCACATCGTGTGAGGAGGGAACTGATTCCTTCAAGTTGTCCTCTGACACTGTGTCATGTACATTTGTGAGCATGCTCATGCGCGCGCACACACACACACACACAAATAATTGTAACCAAAATATCTTTAAATTTAACTTTGGATTTTAAAAAAGAGGGAGAGTTCAAATTCATTACTGGCCACATAATGAATTTGGACCCATCCTGAACTACATGAGACCATGTATCAAAAAAAAAAAAAGTAAAAGAAAGAAAACCAATTGTACAAATATCTTCTCTTTCTTACTCTATTACGCACTACTCTTCATGTTGCCACCAGGGTGATTTCTAAACACAAATGTAACTATGCTACATCTTGGCCCAAAATTGTCTAATGACTCCCAACATTTATAGCAATGCTATCCAACAGAAAACTATGTTATATATGCTGAGCCCACCAGGTATCTACCAGCCACACACAGCTACCGAGCACTTGAAATGTGAATGAGGGACTGGATTCCTAACTTAACCTAAGTTTAATGTAAATGTAAATATCAAGTGGATTCCTATGGTAGGTTATATTATCAAATCCAAACACCTAAATATATATGCCAAGTCCCAGAAAGACATTTTCATATATCTATAACCAGAAATTTTGTACATATCCATCATTTTTTGAGATATTGACTTACTTGTGTCTGGTCTTTAAGATTTAAGATTTGGGCTGGAAATGTAATTCAGTTGGTGGAATGCTTACCTAGCATGCACAAAGTCCTGGATTTTGTCCCCAGCACCACATAGGTGAGATATAGGGACACATATCTGTAATCCCAGTACTCAGGAAGTAGAGGCAAGAAAATCAGACACTCAAGGTCATCCTCAATACACAGCAAGTTCCAGGCCAGCTTGGGATACATGAGACCTTGTCTCCAAAAAATAAATGAATGAAAGGGCTAGCAGGATAGCTCAGTGAGTAAAGGCACTTGATGCCAAACCTGACAACCTGAGTTTGAGCCCCAGAATCCATGTGGTAGGACAGAGCGGGAATCTGAAAAGTTGTCCTCTGACCTTTACACACACACACACACACACACACACACACACACACAC